GTTTCTTCTCTGGGTTCTGCCACCCTGGGGGACGTGGGCTCAGCCCCCCACAACCTGCCTGAGGTTTCCTCCATGCTCCACCCCAGGCCTTCTGTCCTGGGGACCTCTCTCCAGTCTCTACTCTCCCCCAGTTCCCTAAGTCCCCCTCTCCCCCCTTCAAGAAATCTTTTTTTTCTGAGTTCCTGCCTGGGATACTTTTCTCCTACATCAGTTTCCCCAAAACTGTTTTTGCTAGAAACTTCCCCTTTCCCCAGAGGCATCATGAAACTCAGGATGCAGAAAAAAAAAAAATCTGTTTCCACACTGGATAATCCTTTCTGGAGGGAAAGAAGAGTGCCCCAGCAGAGTGAAGAGAGCAGAAATCATAGCACCAGAATCACATCATGTATAGTCATCGGAGTAGCTTTTACTGAGCACTTTACTACATGCCAGACAACAATGTAGGCAGTTGACAATTTAATGCATATAAAACCCGCTTAATTCATTTTCAAAATAAGGAAAGAGAAGCCCAGAGAGGTTGAATAACAGATACCAAATGGCCAGGCGGGACTGAAGCCCAGGCAGTCTGGCAAAAGAGCCCACCCACTGGTGGACATGGGAGAAGGGAAAGACCTGGAAGGTGAGCAGGCTGCATGGGGAGGGCCTGAGGGCCGCCTCCAATCTCTGGGGACATCAGGCCTGAGAAGGGAACTCCTGGCCTCCTGTGAAGCACTGGTTCAGTGGCCCTCCAACCCCCTTGTGGTCGCCGGGCCGGTGCTCAGAGGCAGACAGTTTGAGATTGGCTTGCAGATAAGGCCGTGTGTTTTGCCAAAGTGGAAGGAGGTAGATGGGTCTTTTGAACGTTCAGAGGAAAGAGCAAACGGATGACTGATGGAAATGTGGGCTGGGAGAATTGCAGTGCATTTGTCCCGGCTGGGTCCACACATGCAAAGAGGCTTGGAAGAAATTGGTGGCTTGCTGTCATGCCTCCAGGCCTTTGCCCACACAGTGTCCCAGCCTGAACTCCCTTCCCCCACCTCCTCAACTGCCTGACTCCTCCTCCTCCTCCAGGTCAATGATGAAATGTGGCTTCCTCCAGGAAGCCTTCCAATCCTCAAACTGAGCAGGGCCCTGTGTCAGTTTCATCTGACTTTTGAGCAGGCCACACTCAGCACCAGACTGCTGCTGGGGAAACCTCTGGCATTTGGATGGAGTTCAAGGTGGGGTCGGGGGGGAGGTTCCAGCCTGCCAGAGAGGGATCACACCTCAGCATAATGATCCCCAAAGGGAGGACACCCCCCCGGGGTTCCTCCTGAATTTCCTCCCACCTGGGGAATCACCTGGCTGACCAGACCACGGTGACTTTAATCTCCTTTCTCTTTCTGGTTCTGCTGCTTATACCTCAGGGGCCTTGAGCAAGCTACCTGTGCTCTCTGTGCCTTTTCTCATGTAGGATATGGGGATGATAATGGGACCTACCTCATAGGGCTATTGTGAAAATTAAAACAGGCCTCAAAGCAAATGCATCATTATTGCCATCATCATCACTGACTACCGAGTTTCCCAATATCTAGAGTGTGCTAGTGATGGCATGCACGCCCAAGGGCAGCAATGGTGTTCTCTTGCACCCTCCAGAGGCAACTCTTGAGTACTATATCCTACCAAGCACCACTCAGGATCCTAAAGGTGGAAAGTGACACCCCTTAAAAATAAGTAATCCAGCATGGTTTAAGTCAAAAGAAAATTGATTTGCCACTCCAGCCATATGCTGTGCCCTTCCCTGGGGGCCATCAACTGTCTGGCTCCTTCTTAAACATTCAAATCACAATGACAGTGTTAACGTCTTGAGAT